TGGTTAATTTTTCAAGATTCTTCCAACTTTTCATCTTCTCTCTCCCTTGGACTGCTATTAATCTTAAACACATTTTAGCCATATTATCTAGTATCGGAGTCACTGTCTTTTATGCATGGGCAAATTATCAAGACAACAAAGTTATCAAAGAAGACGGGGACACTACCTACGAGGTAAGGATTACTGCTAATCATTCAAAGTTCACTCTTAATGGTTAGTTATCTTATTATTCCTTTCGAAATTTAGCAAATTCTCGGGTGGGCTTTCTATTGTCAAATTGTTACCACCATAATGCACTGGCTTGCTTCAATGTTGGGCTGTTGTGTCACTTCTGTCTCCTTCAGTAAAACGAGAGCAAAACTGGTGAAGATCGAGGTATGTTCGTCTCCTGACACTTTCGGCGCACTGCGTAAATCGAGTAAACAAATCTTCCCCATAGAAGTGTGCGGGTGGTTCAGTGGATATTTATAAATGCTCCGATGATAACGGAGTAAATGTAACACAACAATATAGTAAGTGCGGTCGTTCCCGCTAGTAAGGCACAGAATAATGTAATAAATACTTTATGGGACAGTTAATTTACGTCTTGCCCGTGAGGCTGTTATAGGAAGGAGTGCGGACCCACTTATCTCGGGTACGCTTGAACCGCACCATTTGGGGGCGTGGGTTCAGCCAGGGAGTCGCCTCAGACAGTGAGACGACGATATAGTTGTGGGGATCGTCGTCATAGACGACGATAAAAAGGCTCTTGAGCCAAGTTTTGCCTTTTTTGAATCCGAGAGAATGAAAGGGTTGCAAAAGCCGCCACATTGTTTATGACGAAAAACTTCAATCTCCAAATGAATATCTCCATATAATCCTTAGCTGAGGCGAAGAGTTTCAGGTCGTTGAAGGCAATGATGAGAGGCAGTTGCTCTCAGATGGGCGCACGTCATCGCAACCTTTCAAAAGATCGTTCTCTGTAGGTCTTCTATCATCCCATATTGCATGTGACAGTAGCAGGAATTTCGACTTTCAATCTTTGCTTTCTCAATCCTCGTCGTTTTCAGGCAATATACCGTGTTGATTCCCAGTCTCTACGTCAATGGGAACGTGACTACATGAGAAATGCTAGAGAACGACAACAAAGGAGCCAAGAAGTAAGGTTCTTCTGAACAAGGGGTAACTAGTTTTACCCTATTGCAGTTGCAGAGTCCATTTAAACGGACTGCATCCATGCCGAATTTTTCGAAAAAGCAAGCGAAGTTAGCTGAGAGGAAGTTGGCAGACAGGTCCAGTCGCGAGGTGTTCTCATCAACAAGCAACATCACTGAAACCACGCAAACAGGTGGGTGCCAAACACAACAGAATGGAAGTAGATTTCTCCCCACAGGGCTGTAAATGGCTTATGGCTGTGAGTGAGTAAGCACCAAGCGTTTTCAGGTTCGATAAACACCCTGGAACGGAATCAAGCTCGGAGGCCACCTGCGGCGGTTCCGCTTCCTGTGCGAACTAGCCAACCATTTGCGCTCCCGACTTTTCCAAAGCTCAGGTCTGCCTTGAAAACGCCGCAACAGTCTAAGAAGAGTGTTAACATTGACGACAGCGATATTACCTACGAGTGCCTACCTTGCGATGTATCGGCAGGAGTGTCAAGTCTGCTTGGTGGAAGGTGAGCGATCTATTATATGATAAAAATCCTACCATATGAATAATGTTAGTTTGCTGGTGTGTGTTACACCATAAATTCATGGTTCCTGTCCGCCTAGACCTTGAGCCTTTGAATTCGGAGCGTTACAGGTGGCAGGATGGTATTAGGTGGTATCAAAAGGCAACTGTTGACAGGCGCTAGTAAGGAGTTTTAATAGGAAGAGTCGCTGAGACTTCAACACCATTTCTTCCAACAACGTGGATCTTGGCACTATAGTAGGTGATGTAGGATAATAAGAGACCGTAAACGGTCGGTCACAATGATGATAACAAGTGATGAGGGCTGATAAGGAGTCATAGAAGAGCCCTCAAAAGTCTCTAGATTTGTACCGCGTTCACTGGAAGCAATGAAACCTTGGCACTTTAAAGCAATGAAACCCAGCGGGATGATAGCGGATCTATATACTTAGTGACTGTTGAAAATGATTACGGCTGAAGAGGAGCCAAGGAAGGCATAGATCGTTTCGTTACGCTCTTTGAATCAAAAGTCGGACTTCGGCACCTTGTTAGGAGTGTGAAGGGATCGCACATGCTTTGACGGGACATATGTAGCAAGTGATAAGGGCTGATAATTGTTATTAAACCACTACAACTTTCCAAGTGAGAGTGGAACATTGCTTCATAGAGGCAGTAGAGGGGTATTTCATTAGGTTAATAATCAATATATGAACCTTCTGCAGAATTTGTAGTACCCGTCTCACGAGCCCATTAGTACGAAGGTTAAACGGACAGGCGATTTTCCGAATAAAGTACTTAGCAATTGTCGAAGACAGACTTTGCAGGCCAACGCCTTTGAACCGAACATACGATCCAGTTTATGAGCAAATTGGTCAGGAGAACTACTTAGAACCGAACAGCGTGCGACTCCGATCTAACCTAGCTTTGAACATGGACCAAGATAAAAAAGGTACGTCTAACTTATTCTTATTTTTATCTTTTTAATTCATTTTTCCACTAACAGTTAGTCTAGTGAAAGCTAGATTAATTTTCAGCTCTGTTGCCAACACAGCTGCTGCCTGGTTCTTCGCAGTCCATTCCGATAACCCACCAAAAAACTACGGTAATCGACGACGTGGTCAAACCGTTATCTTCATCCGTAGACCATGTACATGGAGAAGGAGGCACACAGAAAGAGCCGACAGCCTCTTTGAATCGCACAACTGAGGAGATGAGGAAGATCGAAATGCACCGTCGCTTTGCTACTAGGAAAGAGGTAGAAAGCTATATGTTATTACTGACTTCATCACCTGTTCCAACTGTTGGCGGGGCTCGGCACTCCGGATTCTCTTGTGAACTTGCGCATATGGGGAAA